CCCCGTTCGGCGAGCAGCAAGAATCGTACTGACCTGACGCGATGGAGCTCGGTGACAGGTAGGCAGGCCGCGGCCGCCCTTGCATTATTGTATTGCCTTCACAGGCGCGCCGAAAGGTTGAAAGTCTTCACGATTCGATTGCGCTCGCTCGCAGGTTGCTTGTCGCTCCATTTGGTCGCGCGTTCGCATGAATGAGCATCAACAAAGAGCGGTCACGCATGTCAAGGTCCGTGTGACCCCTCAGGGGCCTTGCGTGGGAGTCGCATTCAAAAGCACTCGCGCAGCTCGACATGCCGTCATGGCATGGGAAGCTCAAACCAAGGCCCGGACGAGGGCACTACGCTCATACGACCGCACTCCTGACCGGTAGCACGCATCCTCATCTCGATTGGGGTCATCTAGAGGGCACAAAGGTAACCGGATGACATTTGGTCTTGAAAAAAAAAGGCGTATTGTGATGAGAAAGGCGTGGCTAGGCACGCGCGAGATGATCTGGCAGAGTTAGTCGCGGGGGAGAAAATGTGTGGATGGTATGGTGTAGGAAGACGCGCGTGTCGTGCGTGCAAGGAGCGCCGAATGGAGATTCGGATTTTGTTTGAGAAAACGCGAAGAGTACACGAGCGCAGCAGCCAAAGATTGGACGAGATGTCGGCTTCTCTCGCAGGTCCACCGCTTTGTGCTTTGTTTGAATCAAATGAGGACACAAGAAGGGAGCCAAGGCTCTCAGCTATGAAAGGCAACATGCACTCGTCCGATCACTCCCAGCTTGTAGGAATAACGGGTTGCTTGGAGCCGCCGTCTGCCTTTCCTCCGTCATTTTGGGCCTTCTTGTTGCTGCCGCCACCTTGATGAGGTGTCCCGCTAGCATTTCCACCGGCACCTCCTCCCCTGTTCTTCTTTCCGCCTCTGTTGCTGTTGTTGTTCCTCTTCTGGCCTCCACTTCCTTCCTTCTTGGCGCCTTCATCGCCGCTCTTTGCACCTCCGTCATTCCCAGCAGCGTTTGAATCCGCTTTGCCATTTGCTGGCGTGTTGGGAGTGGTCGGCGTTGCTGCTGATCCTCCAGCACGACTGCGAGCAGACTCGTTGCCAGAGGCTCTACCTTCAGCGTCGGATCGACCCGTGCCCTCGTTGTCGGATCGACCGCTAGCATTGCCGCCACCGCCCCTGCCCCTGCGTGCCTTGCCTCCACGCTTGGAAGCCGTAGCGGACGTCGAATCTTGCTTGTTGCCGGTATCGCTATTCTGAGCTGATTCACCCTTCAGAGAAGAGGCGCCGTGACTGTGGTTCTTGCCATGGTGCGATGCAGGCTTGGTGGGTGTGGCGCTCGACTGTGCCGCTTTGGCTGCTGCTGGCTGGGTGGGTGGCTGCGCATTGGTGGATGGAGCTGCCGCCAACGGGCTTTTGCCGGGAGATGCAGTGAGCGTAGGACCCGCCGGTGCGGCAGGAGGGGGGATGCTCTTGGCAGGGGTGGCGACGGGCGTAGCGGCGCTCATGGGCATGTTT